TGATTATCAAACATTTGTAAAATAGTAATGATAATAGAGAATAGTCTTCTTTCACTTGATTAATTCAAGAAAGAAAGTCTCAGGATGGGTCAACCTGTATTTCTGGATGCAAATCAATGAAATGACAAGTTCTGTCCCATAAGGTCCTTAAGGTCAAATCCTGACCTTAGGTCTAGTTCACTACAGTTTAAATAAAAAATAATATAAAATAAAAATCTGAGTGTTTACCATATGTTTTCATTGTATATGTACGTTATTTATTGAAATTTCCCTGTATTTACAGTCTACAAAGTAATCAATCCTTAGGCAGATATTATTGCTACCAAAATTTTAAATATTATATTTTGTGGGCAGCACGATGGCATGGTAGAGATGCCACCTCTCAGCGGGCAGGTAGCCCCAGTTCAAACATCGGCTGGGAATCTTTCTGGGTGGAGTTTGCATGTTCTCTCTGTGCATGCGTGGGTTTGCCCCGGGTTCTCTGATTTCCTCCCACAAACCAAAAACATGCATGTTAGGTTAATTGGTAACTCTAAATTGTCCCTAGATGAGAGTGAAAGAGTGACTAGTTGTTTGTCTAGTTTGTCTCTATGTGGCCCTGTGATAACTGGAGAGACCGGTCCAGGTGTCCCTCGCCTCTCACACAGTGATGGGTGGACATGGGCACCAGTGACCTCTGTGACTGGAAAAGGAAGAAGAAGGTAAAGAAGTTGTCAGGCTGCTGTTGTTACGCCGTATTGTTTTGCATTGTTAGTGTTTAGCATATATCTTAGATCTTTTAGCATACTGTTTGGTGTTCGTTTAGCATTCATCTTAGGCCCTATTTACACGGACACGATGGGAGGAAACGTAGGTTTTTTCACATGTTAATTAGAGGAAAAGATCCGCGTTGACACGGACGAATTTTGTGTTTACATGCATCCAGAGGAATCCCCTCCGCCCCACCAAATCCGCTGTAGTTACCATGCCGGGTCATTACATGGCGCTGTGAATTTTGTACCTTCACCTAATGCGCATGCGTGCTGTCTTGGCATGCTCCTTTCTTCTGGGCTAAAAGCTCAGCTAACAACAACTTAACAAGTTAAAGTTGGATTTTGAATAAAAGTCGACATATTTGACACCAAGCAGGACCGCCTTGTCTAACAGCTCCACCCCTGGTAGCTGAGTGGACCAGAACTGAGTCAACGATGTCGGACTTTACTCCGTGATAATCAGTAGCTGATTTACAGCAGGTAAATCAATGTTATTAATAATGTTTGCTTGTGTTTACTTTGATCACACAATAACCAACTGAGTTTTTATTATTATTTTTTTTTCTGAAAGAAGAAGGAGCTGTCCTTCCACCAGACGGACAGGTTCTGAACGAGCCTCGGCCCAGGTGCAGTGCAGGAGGACGTCGAAGAGAGAGATGTTGGATGAACTATTTATTTAAAATTCCCCTAAGTTCTTTTATTCAATCCATTAAATGTTTTAAGCTGCATTAATCAAAGGAGTGACTTCCTGAACCAATGAACAATGTGGGACCAGTATATCAAGGATGAAAACAAGAGTCCAGTTCATTAATGCAGTTTACAGTTAACTTGTTTTTTATGTGTTCAGTTAAATATCAGTGTTTGTGTAACATACAGTTTGGGGTGTTGAATAAATAAATAAAATAAAAATTAAACCTGATGTCTTCATTTTCAACTTTAATAACACGCAATATGTTTAGCATCATTTTAATCACATAATTTGAATTACATAATGTCCAGATAGCTTCATTTAGCTCAGAGAGCTTCATTATATCGCTCACACTTAAGATAAATACTATTTAGCTTATTATTTAGCATATTTAGTATGTTATAGTGCAGCGTGACGTGTGCACGTGCCTCGTTCTATAAACAGCGATATTAGAACTGGATCTGACTGTGTCTCTTCCAACACAGATGTCGGTCACAGCACCTGGAATCTGACTTAGATTAACTACGAGATTAAAAATATATTTCATCAGTCATAGTTCAGAAAGCAGTGTGTCCGCCGCCATGTTGATAGAAATATGCTGTTTGTCCGTCTGCGCGTGCGTGTGCGCATGTTGTTTAACACAAAGCCTCAGCGGGCGATGTTTACATTATCAGCGGGGGGTCAGCGAAAAACCTCGACTCTGGAAGGTGGGTTCAGAAACCTTCGAATTCAAAGAGGGGGCCACTGGTGTCGTGTAAATGAAGAGCAGAACCGCAGAGAGAAAGGAGCGGATTCACTCAAAATATGCGCTGTGTAAACGGCCCCTTAGTGTATATCTTAGATCCTTATTTACTATTTATTTTTACACTTTATGTTTTTGCTGATGTCGGGTGTAACTGGGACCCTGTGCACATAATTGCATTCCACCTCATGTATCACATGTGATGAAATGACAATAAACCTACTTGAACTTGAACTTGAAAATAGTGGATGGATGGATGTAATATATTGTGTATTCTATGCATTCATTGGGACAAAAATCTGGTCCATCCATCCATCCATTATCTTTACCCGTTTATTCCATTTTGGGTCACGGGGGTCGCTGGTGCCCATGTCCAGCAATCACTGTGCGAGGGGCGGGGTACACCCTGGACGGGTCGCAAGTCCATCACAGGGCCACATAGAGACAAACGAGACAAACAACAATTCACTCTCTCACTCACACCTAGGGACAATTTAGAGTTACCAATCAGCCTAACATGCATGTTTTTGGTCTGTGGGAGGAAACCGGAGTACCCAGAGAAAACCCACGCATGCACGAAGAGAACATGCAAACTCCACCCAGAAAGGCCCCTGGACTGGGGTTTGAACCAAGGACCTTCTCGCTGAGAGGCAGCAGCTCTACCAGTTGAGCCACCATGCTGCCAAAAATCTGGTATGTGTGTGAAATGTAAAATAACCAATTTTCTGTATTTTATGGATTTAGAACATATAAAATGCACTAAAATGTTAGATTATTGGAAATAAGTACTAAGTGTGTATCCAGGGTTTAATTTGTAAACTGACTGATGCCGAAACAGCGGGCAGGCTGGGGGAGGGGTGGGGGTGTCCGTTGGGTGAGGGGTCGGGAGGTGGGGTTCGTGGGTCTTCTTGCAGAAAGTTTTGAATAACAGAGATGCCATTTCCTGCATTTTGGTGGATTTTAACGGGGTATTATACAGTATTTACCTCCAAGGAGGACCATCAGCATTTACCTACATTTGTAAACACTTAATTAAATTACTATTTTAGAAAGCAACAACAAGTTGTCTGTGAATTTAGCAGCTCCGATTCTGTCAGGAATCTCCACTGAATTAAGTCTTCCTGCTCTAATCTCGAGGCACCGTTTGAAACACCTGAAGGCTTCAATTCTCGGTTGTCGGACAATCCATCTTTTCTTTTCCATTTTTTATTAAAGTAAATTGAACTGTCTTTTTTACATTTTGATCGCTGTTGTTATTTTGACAAATTAGCGCCGTTGTTTTGAAACGTGACATATAATATGAATAGCACATTAAAAATTTCTATCTTTGTATTTTTAATTTATTTTTACAGTAAGCTTTTTTATTTATTATGTCTGAAATGTAGCAGGAGTTCAGACACCTGCTGATGTTGTGCGCGCTGTGTAGAGCTGTCTGGAGACACTGTGTATAACATGCACTGCCCACAGGCATTTATTTATTCTGTTGAATAAATGATCATTTCTGTTTTGGGGGTCTGAGAGGAGGAGAAGAGGTGTTTTTCAGTGCACAGCCCCGCTGAGTAGGGACAATATTTAGAGAGGAGGAGGAGAGAAGGACTCCGCACAGAACCTTTGTGTGTAAATGTGACCATCTGTCCGTGATTTAACAATCATGTAAACATGATTGTTAAATCATTAAATTTTGTCATTAAATTTTAAATGATTGTTAAATGATTAAACATGATTGTTAAATCATGTTTCTTCCAACTGAGGCAGCTGTCTAAACTGAAGCCCATATTGTCCAAAAAGAACCTGGAGACAGTAATACGCGCATTCATTACATCTAGGCTTGATTACTGCAATTCACTCCTGTTTGGTATCAGTCAGACCTCCATTGCACGACTACAACTGGTCCAGAATGCAGCAGCCCGATTTTTAACCAGTACAGGTAAAAGAGAGCACATTACACCAGTTTTGGCCTCACTGCACTGGTTACTGGTTCACTTTCGAATCCAGTTCAAAATACTCATGTATGTCTACAAATCACTGAACAGTTTCGCCCCCGTTATCTCTGATCTGCTACAACCGTATGTCCCATCATGTTCCCTGAGGTCAGCGGACCAGATGCTCCTCACAGTTCTAGGAACTCGTCTTAAGCGCAGAGGTGACAGGGCCTTCTCTGTAGCAGGACCAAGACTCTGGAACGAGTTACCTCTGCTTGTCAGACAGGCCCCCTCCCTCTCGGTTTTCAAGTCCCGTTTAAAAACTCACTACTATTCAGTAGCTTTCAACACCAGAGGATCTGTGTTTTGAACCTATATGCTCCACACTGGTTTGTCGTCATTGTCTGCATCGTTTTATGTCTATATTTCTGATTTACTTCATTTTGTATATTGCTTTGTGTGTTGTCTGTTGTTCTGTCTGTACAGCACTTTGGTTGGCCTTGTCGCTGTTTTAAGTACTCTATAAATAAAATGGCATGGTATGGTATGTGTCCCTCTGTCCTCAACCCCCCGCCTAGAGGCTCCTCTCCTGCTCCTCGAAGTAAAGTGTGAGTGAACTGGTGCGCCGCGAACTGGTGCACCGCGCACGTTGTGGCTGGAACATCCACTCCACAGACTGGGTCCACCGTGCTAAGGTTATCGTCTCCTCTCGTTGTATTTTTTAATAAATAATCAAAATAAAAATGCGTAATGGCTTTGGAATTATAGTAGCAGAGTTGGCGGCTCCAAGCAAAGAGTTGCCAGAACACAACGGGTCAAAACGAGAGAGAGTTCCCGGATCTAGTTTCGGCAGAATCCGGCTCAAATTAACCACTGTGTGTATCCAATTAACATACCGTTTTTTTAAAGTTTCCAACAAACTTCTTGTATTCGGAGGATTCCTTGTCGTCATAATTGTCATTGTATACCACACTGATCATCACTTTCACTACCACTGATTGGTTAAAAACACCTGCAAAAATAAAAAAATAAAATGTTGAAATAAATACAACATGCCTACATTTTAAATTGAAAAAACACATTTGAGCTTGCAAATGTAGTACCTGGAATAAAGGTGACAACATTTTGGCATCTTTCTCCACTGAATCCAGGAAGACATATGCAGTGAGATCCATTATATAAGCCTCCATTTTGGCAATTGAGAGGTTTAGATGTTGTTACTTTTGGGGATGTTTCAGTTGGCAGAGCTGTTGATGTGACAGTGGAAGCGGTGACGTCCGCTGACATGGTAGTCTGACTAGACGCTGCAGTTGGATTTGTTGGGTCTAAACCTGATGATGTTCCAGTACCAGTAGTTGTTGCACCACCAGTATAGGCAGACTCAGGTGGTGAGGATGTACTAACAAAAGTAGATGTTGCAAATTCAGAAACCGATGTGGTTTTAGGTCCTGAGGTGGCTTCAGTTAAATAGGTTATTGGTGGGGTGGTGAGGCCAGTTGTATCAGGTGGTGTAGTTGTTCCAGTAGGCTCTGATGTTACTGAGCTAGTTGGAATTGTTGGCTTTGATTCTGATGTTGTCCCACCAGCCTCAGTAATTGGTGGGCCAGAAGAACTTGTGTCAGATGGTGTGGATGTCTCAGTAGGCTCTGTTTTTACTGAGCTAACTGAACCTGTAGGCTCAGATTCTGATGTTGTCCCACCAGTCTCAGTTGTTGATGGACCAGTAGAAGTTGTGTCAGATGGTGTGGTTGTCTCAGTAGACTCCGTTGTTACTGAACTTGTTGGACTTGTTGGGTCTGATACTGATGCTGTCCCACCAGCCCCAGTTGGTGTTGGACCAGTAGAAGTTGTGTCAGATGGTGTGGTTATCTCAGTAGGCTCTGTTGTTACTGAGCTAGTTGGATTTGGTGGGTCTAATTCTGAAGTTGTCCCACAAGCCTCAGTTATTGGTGAGCCAGTTGAAGAAGTTGTGTCAGATGATGTGGTTAGCTCAGTAGGGCCCGTTGCTACTGAACTAGTTGGACTTGTTGGGTCTGATACTAATGTTGTCCCACCAGCCCCAGTTGTTGTTGGACCAGTAGAAGTTGTGTCAGATGATGTGGTTATCTCAGTAGGCTCTGCTGTTATTGAGCTAGTTGGATTTGTTGGGTCTAATTCTGAAGTTGTCCCACCAACCTCAGTTATTGGTGAGCCAGTTGAAGAATTTGTGTCAGATGGTGTGGTTAACTCAGTCGGTTCTGTAGCTACTGAGCTAGTTGGTCTCGTTGGGTCTGATTCTGATGTTGTCCCACCAGCTTCAGTTATTGTTGGGCCAGTAAAAGTTGTGTCAGATGGTGTGGTTAGCTCAGTGGGGTCTGTTGCTACTGAACTAGTTTGACTTGCTGGGGCTGATTCTGATGTTGTCCCACCAACCTCAGTTATTGGTGAGCCAATTGAAGTAGTTGTGTCATATGATGTGATTAGCTCAGTAGTGTCTGTTGCTACTGAGCTAGTTGGAATTGTTGGAACTGATTCTGATGTTGTCCCACCAGCCTCAGTTGTTGTTGGGCCAGTAGAAGGTGTGCCAGATGATGCGGTTATCTCAGTAGGCTCTGTTGCTACTGAACTAGTTGGACTTGTTGGGTCTGATTCTGATGTTGTCCCACAAGCCTCAGTTGTTGGACCATTTGAAATTGTGTCAGATGGTGTGGTTAACTCAGTAGTGTCTGTTGCTACTGAACTAGTTGAACTTGTTGGGTCTGATTCTGATGTTGTCCCACCAGCCTCAGTTGTTGGTGGTCCAGTAGAAGTTGTGTCAGATGGTGTGGTTATCTCAGTAGGCTCTGTTGTTACTGAAC